AATGCAGGTTTAAGACACTTTTTGGCTTCACTTCACAGACCCAGAAGCTCTGTCATTATATATACTCTCAGTGGTTGAGACCAGCTGGTTGCTGGGCAGAAATTAAACCCTAATTGTAACCCTATTTTAAGAATTCCTTAAGATATTAATGGAACAATCAATAATCACCTTGCACCAGTAATATGTCTTATATCTCTGTATGTTAATGTTATTATTTACAGCAACAAATACCAAAACATATGAGACATTTCAAGCAAAGTGTGCTGATGCTGATATTTGCTGCAATAATATCCAAACTCGCTGACCCTCACTGTACCTTGCATTGCTCTGCCATACATTCCCCACATTCATTGTGGAGTGAATAGGATGTTTTCTTTTAAACAAAACCCTTCAAAGAAAAAAAACCCACAAACAATAGTTTATAGGCAGGGGAGAGTTCGGAATAAAATAAGGCATAGATTGATGCTTGTCAGTCAGTGCTTAAAGTCATTGGCACTGCAATTTGATGTATTTTGAATTAGATCAGATGATTCCTGGGAAAAAATAGTGGCAGTGATTTTTTGCTAACTAGTCTTTGTGTATTTCATGTCAAAATGGCTGCTGTGAAAAAGGTCTATTCTTTCCTTAACACCTGGATCATGTTTTGATCATCACACACCTCTTTTAAACCAAGGAGGAACAGCTAAACTGTCCTTGTAATAAGGACAGGCAACCTCCAAACATCCTTCTCTGGGTCACAGGAGTTTGTCATCAACACGCCCCGTATTGACGTACTGAAGATGTACAGCAGCAACTTCATGAAGGACAAATACACCAGCATCTTCATTCAGCACCTCATTCATGGAGAGTTGCAGTGACTTCAGTCTAGTGCTGTTTGGAGATGACCAATGACAGAAGTGTGAAGAAATCTGCATCAGTGATGATCTATTTGTTCATGTAAACTAACAATATCCTTTTTCTTTTTACTGTCTGGTTTTCTGGAGTATTAATAATAATATTAATGTTCTAGTCTAGTTTACTGTTCTGTTCCTTTTATTCTGTTTATTATATTCTATTCTCTCAGTTATGTTGAGTTTATTCTAATCTGTTCTATTTTATTATATTCTGTTGGTTCTATTCGGTTCTGTTGATTCCACTCCATTATATTATGTTCTTCTCTGTTCTGTTGATTCTATTTCATACTATTCTATTCTATTTGCTGTGTTCTATTCTGATCTGTTCTTTTCTGTTGATTCTACCAAAATCTGTTGTTTTCAGATCTATTTAGATCAAATTAGATTAGATAGATACTTTATT